TATCTTCAACAAGAAATCTCAACGTTCTCGTTTTTTTATTTCGAGCGTGACGTCATCACCAGAAGGAAGAGACCTGCCCGGAACGATGACATTGGCGAGGATTTATATGAAAATGTAGTTTCCATCTTCAATTACCCAGACAGAGGTAAAGGTGCTGCGACACAACGATACATACTGGGTGGGGAATTGCAAATTGCGCATACTTATATCCTCATGAATTGTCCAGAAATCTCACCGTTTTATCAGTAAGTTAAATTTGTAGTTATAATTGTAATACTTATAAATTAAATTTGTAATTAATTTATAATTTTTTTACTTTTGACTTCACAGTGAATTCAGAGCTTCTTTATCAGCCTTTCCTGAGAATCAAATTGATGCATTGGTGGATTCTGATTTTGTAAATTGGTACAAGTATCAGGTATATATATACACACATTAATTATATATATATTATTAAGTAAGATTTTTCAATATTTACCTAATGTTATTATCATGTTTATATTTACAGATCAATAGTCGTGGGATTGAGGACCCTTTGTTAGTATCATTAGCGTGGGGCCCAGGTGCCTGTGCCAAAGTGTGGCGGCAATATGTGATAAATGGTTACACATATCACACAGCCGATTACGGACAGGACCGACCAACAACGAACAACGGGTTATGTGTCCCGACCATCGGTTATGATAACTCGGAAACCAATTTTTTTGGTGTCCTGCAGGAGATTCTGGAACTTGAGATGCCTTCTGGTGCGCAAAAATTGACATGCGTTCTGTTCCGCTGCACATGGGTCGATCCCACACGTGGCGTGCGCAAAAATCCGAAGTATAATATGATTGACGTCAACCACTCTCGTGTGTACCCGAAAAATGAGCCTTTCATACTCGCCCAACAAGCAGCACAGATTTATTATGCAGAATATCCTTCAACAAGGCGGACACAGAATCCTTGGGTGTGTGCATGTCCTGTCCGTCCGAACAAAATTAAATCACAAACTCAACACAAGGACGTTGATCTAGATGCTTTTCAGCAACAATTTTTCCAACCTCCGCCTATTGTTGAGACGGTCAACTATAACGTCCAATTAAGTGATCCAAATGGCGGACGTGTTGAAGTCATGCCCGAAACGCACCTTCCGAACCTAACCATTCCATCTGAGCGCGAAATTGAGGAAATGTATGTAGCACAACAAAACGCTCAATATCAGGAAGAAGGTGAATGGATAGACGGTTCAGATACAGAAGAAGATACTGTATATGTAGAAAATGACGATTCTGATAGCGAATAATTGTGTTGTTGTAATTTCAATTTTATTGACTTCTAATATTTGTGCTCTTTTCTTCATCATTATATTACTCCAACAATATTTGATTTTTTTTCTTCTTCATTATTATTTATGAACTAAAAATTACTCCATATTAATTCAATTATGGGGTAATTGACTTCTAATATTTGTGCTCTTTTCTTCATCATTATATTACTCCAACAATATTTGATTTTTTTTCTTCTTCATTATTATTTATGAACTAAAAATTACTCCATATTAATTCAACAACAACAAGTTTTCAAAACTTTAAAAATTCAAAACAAAAAATATTTATTTTAAATTCAAAAAATTCGAAAATTCAAAAATTAATTGAGACGGTCAACTATAACATCCAATTAAGTGATCCAATTGACGGACGTGTTGAAGTCATGCCAGAAACACACCTTTCAGAAACACTCAATATCAGAAAGAAGGTGAATAGATAGACGGTTCAGATACAGATTGAAACCAGATAAATTGAAAGCAGTTTATTTAATACTTCACAGTCCACACTACAAATTTCCACAATATTCCATATTATAAATTCGAAAATTGATCCAATAATTTAAATACTTCGAAAATACAAAATTACAAAGAAAATTAAAGTCGCGGTCATAGTCACGGTCAAAACTGTGACTAAACCCTTCGTAAATGTCGCTGCAGGCCTGACGGTCAGAGCCGCCGCTGACCGGAAATAGTCACGGTCCTAGTCACGGCTCTGACCGTGACTATTCCGGTCAGCGGCGGCTCTGACCGTCAGGCCTGCAGCGACATTTACGAAGGGTTTAGTCACGGTTTTGACCGTGACTATGACCGTGACTAAGCCCTTATATAAAAACGACACTTAGCGAATTTTTTCATTCCCACCACTCTCCCAACCCTAAAACTCCTTCTCCCTTTACTTCTCCTCTCATTCCGGCAATCTCCACCGCCCTCCACCGCCGCCCTCCACCATCTGTCGCCACCGGCCGCCGCCGCCGCTCTCCGTTAGCTACCTCTGTTGTTCTTCGCCGTCCTCTTCATCAAGGTTACGTGTTCCTAATTTAAATGACTTTTCATTCCTATTTTTAGTATTTGATTTTTATTCCAAAAATGCATGTTATTATAACTATGTTCCATTATTAAAGTGACTATTCCGGTCAGCGGCGGCTCTGACCGTCAGGCCTGCAGCGACATTTACGAAGAGTTTAGTCACGGTTTTGACCGTGACTATGACCGTGACTAAGCCCTTATATAAAAACGACACTTAGCGAATTTTTTCATTCCCACCACTCTCCCAACCCTAAAACTCAAATGCATGATTATTTACATGATATTTATTCGAATTATAATGTTCTTTAATATTCGAAATATAATTTTCGAAAATAAATTCGAAATATAACATGTTCTTTATTTCGAAAATAAATTTATTTCGAAAATAAATTCGAAATATAACATGTTTCGAAAATAAATTCGAAATATAATTTTCGTTTAATATTAAATTTTAATATAACATGTTTAATAGTATATATTCGAAATATAATTTTCGAATACATGTTTAATACATTTCGAAAATAAATTTCAAGAAATACATGTTCGTTAGTTGGTATACATGTTTTATATAATTTAGTTTGTTAGATGTTTTATATGTTTAATATAACTTGTTTTAGTTTATATGTTTCATATGCATGATTTATATGTTTTGTATGCATGATAATTATGTTTAAATGATTTAGATTATTATATGTGTAATATATGTTCATATGCATGATTAATAATATTTAATATATATGATTAGTGTGTGATATGCATGCCTCTCTATGGTTATACAATGTTTCTGATTTTCATGCTTTAACCCGAAATTTTTAAAAAAAAATTGCCCCCTCATGTTAAGCTTTCACAAACTTAACATGTTTAATTATAATTTTAAAAATTTTTATAAACAATTTTTATAAAAAGTATACAAATTATTTTATAAACAGTTTTTATAATTTTACAAATTTTTATAAACAGTTTCTATAAACAGTTTTTATAAACAGTTTTTATAAATATAAAAAGTAAAATTTGGATACGAACTGTTATTATAATTATTTAAAAAAGAACAAAACAGTTTTTTTAAATCTGGATATAAGCAGTTTGAAAAAAACTGTTTTAAAAACTGGATATTAAAAACTAATTTTTTATAAAACAGTTTTTATAGCAAAATGGTAAATAAACAGTTTTTATAAAAACTGTTTAATAAATAAAACAGTTTTTATAAAAACTGTTTTTATAAAAACAGTTTTAATAAAAACTGTTTTTATAAAAACTGTTTTTATAAAAACAGTTTTAATAAAAACTGTTTTATATAAAAACAGATTTTGTAAAAACAGTTTTTATAAAAACTGTTAATTAAAAACTGTTATTGTAATTTAATTAAAAACTGTTTATATAAAAACTGTTATTGTAAAACTTTTTTTTATGAACTGTTTTTGAAAAAAAAGTATACTGTTTTTTATAATTTTGTAAAAACTGTTTAAAATCTGTTTATTGTAAAAACTGTTTATATAAAAACTGTGTTATATAATTTGTTTTTGTAATTTAATTAAAAAAGTATAAAACTGTTATTTAGACATTATAAAATCCGTTTTTTGTATAAACTCAAACTATACTGTTTTTCTAGAAAACAGTTTGTATAAAAGCTGTTTTTTATTTAAAAAGTGTATAAGAACTTTTTTTTATAAACTGTTTTTGAAAAAAAAGTATACTGTTTTTTATAATTTTGTAAAACTGTTTATAAAAATTGTATAAAATTCATGTATCTAAAACATAAAAAAAAAAAAGATGGCCTCTCATGTAAACTTTGCAAAAAGTTTAACATGTTACTTACAATTGTAAATGTGTATAAAACAGATAAAAAAATGGCCTCTCATATAAACTGATATGACTGATAAAAAAAAAGATGGCCTCTCATATAAACTGATATATCTAAAACATAAAAAATGATCTCCTCTCATGTAAACTTTGCAAAAAGTTTAACATGTTACCTCCAAGGGCAATTTATTACCAAATTATAGAAGAACTTATTATGAAAAAATATGGACCCCTCATATTAAACTAATAGATAGTTTAATATGCTATACACATTTTCAATTGATAATACTTGTATAAATTTTTATAGTGAAAAATAATAAATATACCCCAAACTTTGAAAGGGTGTGAGGTAAGCACCCCAAACTTGCATAAGTAATTTAAACACCCCAAACTTTATATAAAGTTTGGGATATTTAAATTACATATGTAAGTCTGTGGTGCTCTTGTCACATCCCTTCAAAGTTTGGGGTATTTTTATTATTTTTCCCTGTAAAAATTTAATAATCTGTGTATAGTTTTAATATGAGTGGTTCAATAATTTCTAATAAACTCATCCTATAATTTATCAATGAGTTGACCCAGTCGATCGAAGAATCGATCAGTTGGAGCTTGTCAATGAGTTGACCTAGTCAATTCTTAGATAAGCTCCAATCTGTCGATTCTTCTGGCTACGGCTTGAGTCATCGATGGACTCTCCCAAGCGCATGTACTGACATTATGTCGCTACATGTGATGTAGCCCATCCATGGTTCAAGGCGTAGCCCGAAGAATCGTCAGGATGGAGTTTATCAATGAATCGACTCGGTCAACTCATTGATAAGCTCCAACCGGTTGATTTTTCGGTCGACTGTGTCAACTCCTTGATAATTATAGTATTTGTTTATTAGCAATTATTGGACCCTGATATTAAACTTATACCCAGTTTAATATGTTATATACATTGACAATTGATAATACTTACATAAAAATTTGATCTTCTATTATAAACGTTCTAACAAAAAACAAAATAAATTAATATATTTTAGATGAGCAACGAACAATCGACCTCGGCTCCCCGCCCTAACTATGCGCCCATGTCCGAAGCGGAGCGCAACAACGAAGGAGCTGTTTGGGTGACCCCTGCAGAAGTTCTTTTGTAAGTAGTTATGAAGAAACCTTATTTTCAATAATTTTATATAATGTTAAATAATCTAACCAAATCTTATATAAATAAATACTATTAATTTTTAAGTGACGAAGAAGTGTTCAAAGGCATAAAAAGCATAATCGGAGGACACTTTCTTGGCACTTGGGCCACGTACTCGGATGTTGACCCCAAGGTTCGCGAACTATGGTGGAACCTGTTCAAGGTAAAAATAAATGAATGTTCCCTCCCTAATTGTATTGGCCTAATATATACCTAGTGATTAATTAATCCAATTTGTTTTAATAAAGGGTCGCTATCGTTGGACTCACGCAAACGGTGCCGATATTCTTAAAGCCTACAATGCTAGGATTTCGACCTGGCTTCGCGCCACTTTTAAGCGTGCCCGAAAAAGTGCGAAAAAGCCTAAATGGGTTTCGGATGAAGTGTGGTCCAACCTTTGTCGCCACTGGTCTTCTGATCCGAAATTCTTGGCCAGAAGTGAATCCGGTAAGAAAAACCGGATGTCCGAGAAGGCCTTGGAGATGCAGTGGCACGGGGGTCGCAAATCTCAGAATGCCCATAAAGAAACTCTTGTAAGTGCTATTCAAAAAACCTTACACCATCACAATCCTTCATTATAAAAAATTTACTTAAGTCTTTTTCACACCATGTAGGCTGGTCCTGAGAAGAAGAGGGTTGGTGTTCTCCGGCTCGTCAAGCATTGCTGGACGAAGCACGGCGAGGAATCTGAAGCCGATCTGCCACCCCGCCTCGCTGACTTCGAAGTATGTAACATCATATTTTGTTATTTAGTAACATTTCAAATCTAAGTATGTAGCATTTAAAAAAAAATTGAAAATGCAGACGAAGTACAACGAATCCGTTGACAGGCAGCGTGCGGCACGAGGCTTGACCCAGGAGGACGACCTCGATTCCGATGCGGATGATGAGGCGGCCATTGAGGCGGCCGGGGTTTACAAGGGCCGGGTTCCGTGCTTGGGGTCCGAGGGGCAACGGATTTTGTATGATCGAAGCACCGGCGCTTCCTCTTCTCGGTCAAGGCGGGGAGAAGATCCTTGTATTGCTACAATGCAGCGTGAACTGGAGGAGCACGAACGGCGATGGGAGGAGCAGCAGAAAGCAGATGAGGCCACAAAAGCCCGGTTGGAGGAGATGGAACGGTTCATGCGTGCCGGATTCCAGCCTCCGCAACAGCCTTTTCCTCCCCCGTACGTATTCCACCCTGAGCAAACTCCTCAAGTTCCGCACATGGGCGGTATGGGATTTTTCCCCAACTCCGGATACGGTGGCATGCCTATGATCTCCCCGAATTTCGAATCTATGTCCTTTGATTTTGCGAGGTCATCCGGAGGAGGTAGTGGCACACCGAGCCATGGAGCCCGAGGAGCACCCCGAGGAGGACCCCGAGGAGCACCCCGAGGAGGAACCCGACCTGACCCCGAAGACCCCCCCGTGAACCCAGATGAGTTTCTTGTTGATGATGATGAAGAAGAAGAAGAAGAAAATCCTAATTTTTTCCATAATGGAGTCCCACGAAGGGACATGTAATCATCATACATTTATACTTTGTTGTATGTCAAAACATTTAAAAGTTTGTCACAATATTTATTAAGTTTGTTGTATGTCTTTACTCTTTAAAATGTATTTTTTTTTAAAAATTAGTATAATATTTTCAATAACTCATTTTTCAAAAAACATTTTTAAATTTAATTTGTAAACATACGTATAAAAAAGTAATTTTTAAAAACATTTTTAAAAAAAAACGAAAACTGGAATTTTTTTTTTAAAAAAACAAAAATAGTAGTCACGGCCTTATCCGTGACTACAGTTAATTCGAAATTATTATTTGTTTTTAATTAAAAACATTATTATTATTTTTTAAAAAAAGCTTAGTCACAGTCGACAACCGTGACTAATTTCAAAAATTTAGATTACACCCGCGGGCGGTCTTTTGAAAATTTTGAAAATTTGAAACATTAGTCACGGCCCAAAGCCGTGACTAATATTAATTTTTTAAAAAAAAAATTATAGTCACGGTCACAAGCCGTGACTAACACGTCGGAGTGGGGTTTCCGGCATGAAAATAGTCACGGTCCTTGACCGTGACTAACCCGTGACTAAATTTAGTCACGGTTATGTGGCGGTGACTTCATTTAGTCACGCCAATTAAGACACGGATTTAGTCACGGCTGATGACCGTGACTAACATTTTTAGTCACGGAATTTTTACACTGCAGTCCGTGACTAAATCCGTGACTACGCCCGTGTTTTTTTGTAGTGTTGTACACATGATCAAAATTGATCAGAAAGCAAAGTGATGCATCGATGAGGTCTGATTATTACTCCCTCCGTCCCATTTTGGTTGTCCTACTTTTCTTTTGGGTCGTCCCAAAATGAATGTCTTATTTCCTTTTTTGGCAAGAAATATGTGGTCTTTATCATTTTATTTTATTCTACTCAAATCTCAACCACAACTTTTACTTTTCAACCACTTTATTAATAACCGTGTCAAATTAATTGAAAGTGGACAGTCAATATGGGACGGAGGTAGTACTTATTAGTAATATACTACGTAATTCACAAGCCAAGCTCATATCATTAATGATCACTAACTCATCAAGTACTTCGTATTATTTAACAACTAACGGAGTTAAGGGTAAAATAGCCACTTAAAAAGTGAGATTTCATTTTCTAAAAGCAATGTGCAACTCTTCAAGCTCAAAGTGTGTTGACATAAATTAAGGGTACTAACACCCATTCACAATTATAATGTTTTTAGACTAGTTTTTACTCAAATTTCAATAAATAATTTTGCTATTTGATGAGTTTTTATAAAAAAAATATTACTCTAATAAAGCTTATTCACAAAAAATATGACTAATAGTTATTATAATGTAGTTTTATAGACTTTAAGTGTAATATTGAAATATAAGTGACTATGATTAAGTAAATCACTATTTTTTTGGGTTAAGGTGCAATCGGGTCACTAAGATATACCTTAGAGAGCAAATAAGCCACTAAGCTAATTCTTAGAGCAAATAACACACTTTTGATATAGTTATATTAGCAATTTAGCCACCCATTAAAGTTTCTAACAGAAACCAACGACTTCTCCCGACCATACTCCCTTGAATTTCTAACTTGCATTGGGACTAAAATTTAAATAAAAAATGTGAGGACGAAAATTAAAAAGGATACCAACTTATCTTCTTGTTCATAATATTTCACTCTTGATTTAATTTGAGTAAACGTACTATGATGCACTCATATATGGGTAAATTTCACTCCAAGTTTATTGCAATTTTTCAAATACTAAATTAATTAGTACTTCGTATTTTATAAAATAAATAGGGGGAAATAATTTAAAAATACCAAACTTTAATGAGGTGTGAGATAAGTACCCCAAACTTACATATGTAATATATGAGAAAACTTCATGTCAGGCCGGCCTGACGGGCTGCCCCGTCCGGCCGAGCCTGTTTGGGCACCTTCCCGGTGGAATTGTTTGATGAAATTTTTTTAGCATGTTCCTCATCAAGTCTAGTTTGTTGGGCCTTAGGGTGTTGGGCGCGTCTCCGGAGAGTCGGAGAGCTGCGAGCATACGGAGAGTCGGCGACACGGCCGACGCCGGGTGAGTCGGCGGAGTTGGCTGAGGCGTGCGTCTACGACTCTGCTTGATAACTGAATCCCATCTCCGGGTTTGCTTCTGGTTGCTCCTGCTCTACAATAGAATTCGAGCTGGACTTTCTGCACTGGGCCATAATATTTTTATACTGGGCCAGTTTTACTTTTGCACTGGGCCATTTTCTAAAATAAAATAAATCTATATATATAATACAAAAAAAAAATTACCCTGGGCCATGGCCCAGCCTGGCCACCCCCTCCCTCCGCCCCTGAGAAGAGCCCTCTGTAATATATATACCCCAAACTTTATATAAAAAATTATTTTTCGCACCATGATTGTATGTTTGTTTTACAAATACAAATTTATTAAAAAATAATTATATAATTTAAAATACTCTTAAGCTTTGTTACAATGCAATTAACATTTTAAAATTTCATTTGTGAAATAAAAAATATTACATTTGGTACAATTTAATTTTAATTGCATATATCCTCATAAAAGTTTTGCGTATTCTAAATTATGTACTTAACACCATAAAATCAAATTTGTTAAAAAAAAATATGATCATGATGATAACATAACTTTTTTTACCATACTCCGTATAAAGTTTGTGGTGTATACACACACACATGGCGAAAACTTCGGTTTATTTACAAAATTGTCACTGTGTTTTATTACATGTGCAAATTTAGGGTACTTATCTCACTCCTTCAAAGTTTGGAATATTTAAATTATTTTCTCCTATTAAATATAATAAACATTTAATTAAATAGAAAAGTGGGAAAATTAATATTAATTGGTTAAAGGAACAATTTACTCTTACGGAATAAGCACATGTTAAACAAGACTCTTTTTACCATAAAAACCCCGAGAGTAAATTTATATTTATAATTCTAGATGTATATATATAGACATATAAAGCAAAAAAGATAGAAACTTAACGAAGTATGTGAGGAAGAAGTAGTTGGCTTCCGTTAGAAATGTTAATGGGTGGCTAAATTGCTAATATAACTCCAACCTCACTTTTTCTGCTTATTACACAATTCAACGCGCAAAAAATAAAGTTAGTTATTTGGTGAAATGTTGGCTAATAAGCCGAAAAACAATGTTGTAAAACGGTCTCTTAATCATATATGTAATTTAAAGAATTTTCAACGTGCATGGGTTCCTATTAATCTAATACTTTAAGTCTCTTAAATACATTGATGAATTATGAAACGTTTGAGTCTTGACTCTTGAACTTCGGTTATCTTATGAAAGCAAAGATCAACGTGTACTTCTATTTTTGAGAAATTTTAGAGATCAAAAGAGTGTCAAGTATCTTATGGTTCGATGACATCATTATGATATTTCCCCGAGAAAACCATGGGATCCAAACTCATCCCAAATCAAGAAAATTGGTTTTTAACAAGAGGAGATAGTGATTTGACATCCAAAAAAAGGAACTCACTAGTAGAATGATCGAAACGACTGGTTTGGTATCCCATACGCGATAGAAGATCAATGGAGTGGTCTGATTTTCCGGGTAAATTCCCTTAGTTCCTGAAAGGGTCCACCCCTATATGCATTAGGCTGAAAAGAATGGGCCATGCCTGTAAACATTTGAGATCGATTTTTGTATACAAGAAGGTTCATAATAAATTTTAATTGATAGTCTTTTGTTTTTTTAATGATCGTATATGTCATCAAGCAGTGATTTTGATTGGGGTGTAATGGGGTCGGATTGAGTCAGGTTTTGGTTAGGACCGCTTAAAACCTGAAAATCTTCGGTTCTACATGTTTCGGCCCAATAGGATTGGAGGACCAATAATTTCAGGCTGATCCGGGTTTTAAGAGCCTCGGGTTCGGGTTGAATTCGGGTTGGGTCGAGTTGAACCGGAAAAAAATTGAAATACACTCCAACAAATTAAACATTACAAATATCTAAGCTTCTAATCAAATAACATATATAAAAAAAGAAAGAATAACTTGAATCTAAACTAGAAATTGCTTCAAGTAGGACTAAAACATAGACAAAGTGTACATATGGGACTACTTGTGTTTTATTCCTAAAATAAGACTAAATTGGCCCTACTAAAAGCATAAGACTTCCCCATTTAGGAGTAAGAGAGTCATATTCTAGGGGAAAACAATAATAGT